CACACTCTGGGCATTTGAATGGTTTCTCCCCAGTGTGAGTTGCTTGATGATAGATGAGGGATGCCTTTCGAGGGAAACTTTGTCCACACTCCAGGCATTTGAATGGTTTCTCCCCAGTGTGAGTTGCTTGATGCTGAGTGAGGTTTGCCTTCTGAATAAAGCCTTTTCCACACTCTGGGCATTTGAATGGTTTCTCCCCAGTGTGAGTTGCTTGATGCCGAATGAGCTCTGCCTTCTGAATAAAGCCTTTTCCACACTCTGGGCATTTGAATGGTTTCTCCCCAGTGTGAGTTACTTGATGCCGAATGAGCTCTGCCTTCTGAATAAAGCCTTTTTCACACTCTGGGCATTTGAATGGTTTCTCCCCAGTGTGAGTTGCTTGATGCTGAGTGAGGTTTCTCTTCTGAATAAAGCCTTTTCCACACTCTGGGCATTTGAATGGTTTCTCCCCAGTGTGAGTTGCTTGATGCGAGTGAGGTTTGCCTTCTGAATAAAGCCTTTTCCACACTCTGGGCATTTGAATGGTTTCTCCCCAGTGTGAGTTGCTTGATGCTGAGTGAGGTTTGCCTTCTGAATAAAGCCTTTTCCACACTCTGGGCATTTGAATGGTTTCTCCCCAGTGTGAGTTGCTTGATGCTGAGTGAGGTTTCTCTTCTGAATAAAGCCTTTTCCACACTCTGGGCATTTCAATGGTTTCTCCCCAGTGTGAGTTGCTTGATGCTGAGTGAGGTTTCTCTTCTGAATAAAGCCTTTTCCACACTCTGGGCATTTGAATGGTTTCTCCCCAGTGTGAGTTGCTTGATGCTGAGTGAGGCGTGACTTCCTAATAAAGCCTTTCCCACACTCTGGGCATTTGAATGGTTTCTCCCCAGTGTGAGTTGCTTGATGATAGATGAGGGATGCCTTTCGAGGGAAACTTTGTCCACACTCCAGGCATTTGAATGGTTTCTCCCCAGTGTGAGTTGCTTGATGCTGAGTGAGGTTTGCCTTCTGAATAAAGCCTTTTCCACACTCTGGGCATTTGAATGGTTTCTCCCCAGTGTGAGTTGCTTGATGCCGAATGAGCTCTGCCTTCTGAATAAAGCCTTTTTCACACTCTGGGCATTTCAATGGTTTCTCCCCAGTGTGAGTTACTTGATGCCGAATGAGCTCTGCCTTCTGAATAAAGCCTTTTTCACACTCTGGGCATTTGAATGGTTTCTCCCCAGTGTGAGTTGCTTGATGCTGAGTGAGGTTTCTCTTCTGAATAAAGCCTTTTCCACACTCTGGGCATTTGAATGGTTTCTCCCCAGTGTGAGTTGCTTGATGCTGAGTGAGGTTTCTCTTCTGAATAAAGCCTTTTCCACACTCTGGGCATTTGAATGGTTTCTCCCCAGTGTGAGTTGCTTGATGCTGAGTGAGGTTTGCCTTCTGAATAAAGCCTTTTCCACACTCTGGGCATTTGAATGGTTTCTCCCCAGTGTGAGTTGCTTCATGATAGATGAGGCTTGCCTTCTGAATAAAGCCTTTTCCACATTCTGGGCATTTGAATGGTTTCTCCCCAGTGTGAGTTGCTTGATGCTGAGTGAGGTCTGCCTTCTGAATAAAGCCTTTTCCACACTCAAGGCATTTGAATGGATTGTCCTCAGTGTGAGTTGCTTGATGCCGAGTGAGGTGTGACTTCCAAATAAACTCTTTTCTACACTTCGGGCATTTGAATAGTTTCCTCCCGGCGTGAGTTGTTTGATGACAAAGGAGGAAACTCTTCGAAATGAAACCCTTTCGGCATATCCAACAATGAAATGGTTTCTTCCTTGTGTGATCTGATTGGTAACGGGAGAGGAAGGCCTTTTGACTGAATCTTTTTTTCCCCTCCAAACACTTTGATGACGAGGAATTGTTTCCACAAGTGCTTCCTGGAAAGAGACATCAGAAGTCAACAAGATTAGAAGAAAAGAATTCTGACTGCTTTAATATCAATATAATATATAATATAATACAAAGAATTCTGGTTTTATGTGAGCTGACTAAGCACAAGACAGGGGGAGCCTTACCCAGAGAGGACAGGACTTCCAAATTCTCCTCCATCACCTTCTGATGAAGGGCCCTTTGGCCTGGGTCCAACAGAGCCCACTCTTCTTCTGTGAAATCCACAGCCACCTCCTCAAAAGTCACCTTGAGAACAACAAAAATATTGTTTCAGACTGCTCTAAAACTTGAAATTCTTATTGGATGATATCTACAGGCTCTTTGAAGTAAACCATTGGATGCAAGCAAAGGGAACGAACAAGATTTTGTGAAAGCCACAGAGTGGTTAAATCGACAGCAGAACACCGCCTGCGCCTTTCTTGGCTTGCTGGAGGGCCTGCCCCCTACCTGATGTACTCCTGCAGATGCTGTTCGGAGTTCCTCTTGAGGAAGAGATGCTCTTATATTTCTACTTGCAGACCCAGTCCTTGTTCCCTCTCCTGGGAGGAAAGAAAAGAGAAGGGAAAGAGAACATTATTACCCACTCTCTCCTTTCTCCTTCAAATTCCTTCTACACATTCCAATGTAACAAACACCATAATGTATACACAGAAAGAATGGGGAAGTCTTGGAAGACTGCAATCCTGCAGTTGTGAGGTGCACATCATGCTTCTCCTTTATAATCAGGCACAAGTTAATCAAGCAAATCTGCTCCTGAGCATGGCTTCTTAACGGAAAAATGGTACCTGAGGCAGGAATAACATTGAAAAAAGGAGGATAAGCTCCTCCTTCACCAAAAAGAAGAGCACTTCAGCCACCTTTTTATTCAAAATCAGCAAAATGCACACATTAAATGCAAGAATGACGTCAAGGTCAGCCTTGGGTTAGTAAAAAGACCGCAACAAAATTTAAAACCTACAGACAACGAGAAGCCTTCTTCCAAAATTACCCTGTGTCAACCTATCCTTTCATAACCCTCCATTTTCTCATGATTTCCATTTTTAGTGGTCAACATTTTAAATCTCTACATTTTTCTCATCTGCAATGGGAGCTGATGAGATTCCTACTTTCTCTTAGTTTTGCTGGTCATACATGCTCAGAAGCGGGCGCTAGTGGCAGCTGAATTTACATTGCCTTGTTGTAGGCAGGCACACACCACGGCAATAGGACGGACGAGGAGAGAATCCTCCTCATTCCCACATGAACCTTTATTGCATTGTTTTCTGCCAATATACTTTTTATTTATTTATCGTGTCAGGCAACCAAACAGTTGTAGAACATTTTTAACAGAACAAACAAACAAAGATACAAAACACAACGTTTGCAAGCTTGGTAGTTGATTAAATGTCCTTTGACCAGTATCTGGCCACTTGGAGTGCCTCTGGTGTTGCCACAAGAAGGTCCTCCATTGTGCATGTAGCAGGGCTCAGGTTGCATTGCAGCAGGTGGTCTGTAGTTTTCTCTTCTCCACACTCGCATGTCATGGATTCCACTTTGTGGCCCCATTTCTTAAAATTGGCTCTTCATCTCATGGTGCCAGAGCGCAGTCTATTCAGCGCCTTCCAAGTCGCCCAGTCTTCTGTGTGCCCAGGGGGGAGTCTCTCATCTGGTATCAGCCATTGGTTGAGAGTCTGGGTTTGAGCCTGCCACTTTTGGACTCTCGCTTGTTGAGGTGTTCCAGCGAGTGTCTCTGTAGATCTTAGAAAATTATTTCTTGATTTAAGTCGTTGACGTGCTGGCTGATATCCAAACAGGGGATGAGCTGGAGATGTCACTGCCTTGGTCCTTTCACTATTGGCTGCTACTTCCCGGCGGATGTCAGGTGGTGCAATACCAGCTAAACAGTGTAATTTCTCCAGTGGTGTAGGGCGCAGACACCCCGTGATAATGCGGCATGTCTCATTAAGAGCCACATCCACAGTTTTATTGTGGTGAGATGTGTTCCACACTGGGCATGCGTACTTAGCAGCAGAGTAGCATAGTGCAAGGGCAGATGCTTCACTGTGTCTGTTGTGATCCCCAGGTTGTGCCAGTCAGTTTTCGTATGATATTGTTTCTAGCGCCCACTTTTTGCTTGATGTTCAGGCAATGCTCCTTGTAGGTCAGAGCATGGTTCAGAGTGACTCCCAGGTATTTGGGTGTGCTGCAATGCTCCAGTGGGATTCCTTCCCAGGTGATCCCCAGTGCTTGGGGTGCTTGTCTGTTCTTAAGGGTTTTTTTTTGTCATGTTAGGAGCGACCTAAGAAACTGCAAGTCGCTTCTAGTGTGAGAGAACTGGCCGTCTGCAAGGACGTTACCCAGGGGACACCCGGATGATTTGATGTTTTTATCATCCTTTTGGGAGGCTTCTCTCATGTCCCTGCATGAGGAGCTGGAGCTGATAGAGGGAGCTCATCCGCCTCTCCCCGGATTCGAACCTGCAACCTGTCGGTCTTCAGTCCTGCCAGCACAAGGGTTTAACCCACTGCGCCACCGGGGGCTCCATTGTTTTTAAGGTGAAAGGCACATGTCTGTTTTTTAGATGGATTAGGGATCAGCTAGTTTTCCCTGTAGTAGGCAGTAAGAGCACCTAGAGCTTCGGAGAGCTTCTGTTCAACCATCTCAAAGCTCCCTGCTTGAGCAGTATATGCTATTATATATAATATACTATTATATATAGTATACACACACACACAATTATATAGAGTATATAATATACTATTATACCCTGATACTAAGAGTTGTATTCCTCCTGTCCTTTTTTTTATCAGTGAAAATGTTACAAGGGAAAAATCCAGCTACACAGAAGCTAAGAAAGAAAACATAGATTTTCTGTTAGGAGACTTTCTTAACTGAAGTATGCCTACAACATCCCAGTACTGTTTAGGCAGCATGATCTTGTTAACGTGCCATGATTCATACAACCCAGATATATTCAGGCAGACTTGAATGGAGAAGGCCAAGGAGAAAACTTAGGACGGCACTTACTCATTGAGGGAGACTTTCCTTCGCTGTCCTCCATCATCCACCTTGGCTGCTGCCTTTGACTGGATTCAGGAAAACACTGACCTGCCTCAGGGATCCGTTCCAGACACAAATCCTGCAGCAGAAGCAGAAACAAGGGAAGGAAATGAAAGGGAGAATTGGGAAAAGAAAAGGCTTTAGGAGTGGTTGGGGAGTGGGAGGTGGGATATGTCGAACAGTTACATCTTCTGAATGAGGAGGATTGTATTCATTTGCTTCTCATGTTTTTAATAGCTAAAATATAACCTTTCTACAGGCTTGAAACAATTACAACACAGAGATAACAGTACAGAATAAGATGACAGATAAGCAGCATATCTTTACCCATGCTTAACTGGAAGCTTTTAGAGAAGCATGTTTCCTTGTGAGAAAAAAAGGATAGGAAGGACAGAGCCAATCTAATCTCCCTACCAAAGAGTTGCAGAACCCAAGGAAGCCACTGAGAAGGAGGCTCTGTCCCATCTTCCCAGGAGGTAAGACCATGAGAGGAGAGGCATCTCAGGCTGAGCCCAACAAGGGCAGAGAAAACACTTCTTGGAAAAGCTGAGACCCAAGCCATACGGAGCTGTACAGGAAATGACCAGTGCTATTAATTACCCCATCTCTTTAAAASGTACCCATGTTCTYTGTATTTCTGGGAAGRGGAATCCCATCATACAGGTCCAGGCTATCCTTGACCTGCCTTTTGACTGATGAGACGCAATTATCTCRGGCCTCWGKTTGTTCCAGAKTTRTCAGAAAACGTGCCAAGACATATGGATGGCCCTCAAAATGYCCAGAATGAACMGAGCTCACCGRCTCCTRTTCCTGCTTCTTCTCTGCCTGACTCAYGAGGAAGCSTTCTGCCAGGGCCACCGCCTGGGAACTGGTCTCTGCCCCACATTSTCTCACCCAGGACGACATCTCCGAGGGAAGGAGTGCCAGGAACTGCTCAAAGACCACCAAGTCCAACATCTCCCCCTTGGTGCGTCTTTCTGGCTGGAGCCACTGGCGGCAGAGAAGGTGCAGCTGGCTGCAAACCTCCCGAGGTCCTAACGTCTCCCTGTAGCCAAAGTCCCTGAATTGCTGGCGGCATAAATCTGAAGTGAGCACTTCCTCCAGCATGCGCTTCTGGGTGGCACTCTCCTCGAATGCTCCTCTAGGCTTGGCCTGAATGAGGGAAGGGCCTTTTCCCAGGCTGGGCTCAGAAGAGTCTTTCCCTCCCATCTTTTCAGTTAAACCTTGCACTGTTGCCAGGATCTCCTGCAAGGCAAAAACATTGGGAAAATTACTGAAGGTAGAAAGAAATGGGCAGGAAAAGCAAGCAAGATGTTTGATGAGGATCGAAAGAAAATGGGGGAAACAACCCCAGTCCCATTTTAGCATATCTCTGTGGCCATAAATGATGTTGCTTTTCAGTCCTTATACACCACTTACAAGATATTTTGGTGTCCAGAGCAAGCAAACAAGGTTATTTTATTTGTCATGTCAGGACAACCAGTCAAATTATATTACGTTTCTAACAGAACAAAGCAAACAAACAGACAAAATACAAAATTTGTGAGTTTGGTAGTTGATTAAATGTCCTTTGACCAGTATCTGGCCACTTGGAGTGCTTCTGGTGTTGCTGCAAGAAGGTAGCTTCTACCTATTATGCTTGGGATAAAGTGTAGTTTATACCAACAGTTCCCAAACTTTTTCGCTCAGAAGATTTTTTTGTCCTCCCCACGGAACCTTAACTCTGTCCCTAAGCCCTGTGAAGCCACAAAGTTATTCCTTTTTTCATTTACTCCTATTGCATGAGTGTTTTGTATAATGTAGTAGGCTTAGAAATTAAGAGAAAACAATGTATTGTTGAGGGCTTTCGTGGCCGGAATCACTGGGTTGCTGTTGTTTTTTTGGACTGTATGACCATGTTCTAGAAGAGAAAACATTTTAAATATAGCGACAAACCTTTAGTTTGGTACAGGAAGTTTTTGAATTCACAGCTAAAGTGATGAACGAACCTGTTTCATTTTGTTTGGAGACTGGGCTTCAAGTCCAGCAGCTGAATATAACAACAACAACAAACAATTTTGTGAGGGGCTTAACTGCTTCTATAATGTTGAGAGCTGTGCTGGTGGTAGTGTAAACTGCCAGTAGGTTCAACCAAGCCAGAGTGGCCTCAACTGAGAAGTTGAACTAAGTGCACCCAACCCAGTTAATGATGGTGAAACAAACTCTAAAGAAGTCTAGACTTGCTTGGTCATCGCCCAGGATAATAAGGAGCGTGGCGAGTGCTTCTCCTGGGCACCCGTCGACAAGTGGGCTACAGGAACCAGGACCCACTGCTGAGCAACCAGGTCATAGACCTGTAGGGCAACTGGAAGCAAACAACTACAGAAGCGACAGAAATTTTCAATGCCACAGAACCAAACTGTCATGAACTGCTATTATAGATCAGAACCCCAAAAAACATGGATACCAAAACCGGATGTACCCCTTATAGAAACTGGAATATCCAGCAAACTACTCCGGGGCTTCCGAATTCAGACTGACAGAGTTTTGGTGCACAATACTCCTGACCTCACTATAGTGTTAAAAAACCAAGTATGGATCGTCGATGTTGTAATCCCAGGTGACAGCAGGATTGAAGAAAAAAAAAACAATTGGAAAAGCTGTCACAATATGAGGATTTAAAGATCGAACCGCAAAGACTCTGGCATAAGCCAGTAAAGGTGATCCCAGTAGTGATCGGCACACTGGGCGCAGTGCTTAAAGACTTTGGCCTGCACTTACACAATTGGCGCTTACAAAATTACCAGCTGCCAGCTGCAAAAGGCCACCCTACTGGGATCTGCATGCATTATTCACCGATACATCGGATAGTCCTAGACACTTGGGAAGTGTCCGACGTGTGATCCAATACAACAACCAGCATAGTGATCTTGTTTGCTGTGTACTCATCTTGTTGTGTATCAATTAATAATAACTTTATTTCTATCCCACCACCACCTCCCCAAAGGGACTCGGGGTGGCTTACAAAGCACCCCAGGGTGCACATATAACACGCAACTGGTAAAAACAGTACAAAACAAGTCTGATAAAATTATAACAACAACCCACCCGTCAACACATGTCAAAATCAAAACAATACAATTCACAGGTGCCAAGTGTCAGTGTCATATGGGCCCATTCAGCCTACTCAAGATCAAAGGCCTGTCTGAATGTCCTGTTTTCAGGTTGGAACGGAAGGACTGAAGGATGGGGACTAATTTAATCTCTTTTGGGAGGGTGTTTGAGCCGGGGGGCCACCACAGAGAAGGTCCTCTCTCTTGTCCCCACCAACCAAGTTTGAGACAGTTGTGGGCCTGAGAGGAGGGGTTCCCCTGTCAATCTCAGAGCCCACACCAGTTCGTAGAAAGAGATGCGGAGTTGAAGATAGGTTGCACACAAAGCATATGTAATATATAAACCCAAAGTGGCATCCAAGTTACTACCAATTTTACTTATGGTGTAAGCATCACCTGGAAAGCCTGATTCTCTTTGATTGATGGACATGAAGGGCAGAAGAGCTCAGATAATCGTTTTGGCTTCTGACAGCTACATGCCTACCAAACCCTACCCAAAAGTCATTCAGTGGCACAGATTCAGAGGTTGTTTTTAAAAAGGAGAAATACACTGATTTCAGTAAGATCTTCATATACTGGTAGAGACTTTTAAAAAATAATAATGATTTTTTGCAGAACCCTTGCAGTGTTTTTGCGGAACCCTTGCGTTCCAAAGACCACAGATTGGGAAGCACTGGTTTACATCACTGTGATCACCATCAAAGGGAAAGAAGTGCAGAGAAGCAGATTCCTGCCAGCATCTGCCACATGAGGCAACCGCTTCATTGGCCTGAATGTCGGGCCTTTTCCAGAGGGTCAAAAGCTCAATGCGCTTTGTCCCATCTCTCAGTCTGAAATAAGCCATGCTGAGAGTCAATTGTGTAAGCAGTTAAGAGTTCTGGGCTGGAGACACCCTCCTATAAACCCCTAACTTTCATCCCAACCTCCCTTGGAGGGCTATTGTTAGTAATGGGTAAGGCCATTGACAAGGCCAAAATAAAGAAAGGCCCAGGCCCAGATGGATTTTCTGTCTTGTTCTACAAGCTGTACAAAGATGAAATAGGTTTATTATTGCTTTCAATAATGAATTGAGTGCTCCAGAAAGGGGAAACTCCAGACTACTGGGTATGATAGTCCTCGTGCCTGAACAAGGTAGACATATGCATTTTACTGTATTTGTATGCTCCTGCAGCACTATTATAAGCCTCCCTGAGTCCCTTTTGGGAGATTTTGGCAGGACATAAATAAAAGTACTACTGTTCTTCTTATTATTATTATTAGGAACAAGTCAAGAATTTCAGACAAATTTCATTAGTAAATTGTGATTACAAGTTATTTGCAGAAATATTATCAAATAGACTGAAACAAATCTCAGTGAAAACAATTCAAGGAGACCAAGTGGGCTTGAGAAAAGGCAGAGGAACGAGAGACCAAACTGCCAATATCCACGGGATAATGGAGGAAGGCGGGAGTTTCAGAAAAACATCTGCTTTTGTTTAGGGATTTATAGGTCATAACCTGCAATTTGTATTAGGACCGTAAACGTATTGCTACTGTGAAGCCAAACACCAATAGATCTGGACCAAATTTGGCACAAACACCAGACACGCCAAAATTTGAATACTGGTGGCTTTGGGGTGGGGGATTGATTTTGTCATTTGAGAGTTGTAGTTGCTGGGATTTATAGTTCACCTACAATCAAAGAGCCCCTCAAACCCCACCAACGATGGAATTGAACCAAACTTGGCATACAGAACTCCCATGACCAACAGAAAATACTGGAAGGGTTCAGTGTGCATTGACCTTGAGTTTTGGAGTTGTACTTAGACTTGGAATATGGGCACCACAATTGAAGGGAGAGATTGACAAGCAGGAATGTGTCCAGAGGAGGGTGACTCAAATGATCAAGGGTCTGGAGAACAAGCCCTATGAGGAGTGGCTTAAAGAGCTGGGCAAGTTTAGCCTGCAGAAGAGAAGGCTGAGAGGAGACATGATGAGGGCCATGTATAAATATGTGAGAGGAAGTCATAGGGAGGAGGGAGCAAGCTTGTTTTCTGCTGCTCTGGAGACTAGGACGCGGAGCAATGGCTTCAAACGACAGGAAAGGAGATTCCACCTGAACATTAGGAAGAACTTCCTGACGGTGAGAACTGTTGAGCAGTGGAACTCTCTGCCCAGCAGTGTGGTGGAGGCTCCTTCTTTGGAGGCTTTGAAACAGAGGCTGGATGGCCATCTGTCGGGGTGCTTTGAATGCAATTTTCCTGCTTCTTGGCAGAAGGGGGTTGGACTGGATGGCCCACGAGGTCTTTTCCAATTCTATTATTCCATACATCCAGAGAACACAAACAAAGATGGTTGTGGACCAAATTGGCACAAATATCGTGTCATAATTTGGTAGGGTTGAGAGGGGTTTTTGAGAGGGGTCATTTGGGAATTGTGGTTGCTGGGATTTATAGTTAACCTACAACCGAGGAGCACTCCAAGCCCAGCCCACAATGGATCTGCAAAGAATTAGGCACACAGACCCAACATGGCCAACAATATGAGTTGCTTTATGAGTTTTAGTGTTGTATTTGTTAGGCTGTTGTTTTATTGAGGGCCTTGGCCTTTGTAAGGCGCACCGAGTCCTTCGGGAGATGTTAGCGGGGAACAAATAAAGTTAATAAATAATAATAATAATAATAAGTAATACAATATAATACTACTACTAATAATAATATATTATAATTATATATTTTAAAATATATGTAATATTATAGTACAATATAATAACATACAATATTAATATTAAGGTAATATTCTGCCATATTCCAGCTTCTTGGCAGAAGGGGGCTGGACTGGATGGCCCACGAGGTCTCTTCCAACTCTTTGATTCTCTGATATTGTATTGACTTCTTCCTTGTGAGCCGGCCTGAGTCCCTCTCGGGGTGAGAAGGGCGCCATATCCAGGTCGTAAGGAAATAAACAAAATAACTTTGAATACTGAGGGAGTTTGGGGGCGATTGACCAACCATTTTGGGAGTTGTAGTTCACCCACATCCTTAGGGGTGCACTAATTAAAAAAAAACAAAACAAAAGGAAAGGAAAGACTTATTTCACCCCCCAAATAAACAGTATTCAAACTACAAGAGAAGAGATTCCATCTGAACTTTAGGAAGAACTTCCTGACTGTGAGAGCCGTTCAGCAGTGGAACTCTCTGCTCCTTCTTTGGAAGCTTTTCAACAGAGGCTGGATGGCCATCTGTCGGGAGTGCTTTGAATGCAATATTCCTGCTTCTTGGCAGAATGGGGTTGGACTGGATGGCCCACGAGGCCTCTTCCAACTCTTGGATTCTATGATTCTATTACAAATTACCTAAACTGCTGCTTCTGCTGCTGCTTCTGCTTCTGGGCCTGTCTTGAAGAGACCGTTGCCCGAGCCTCCCGCGAACCCCGCCCACACATGCGCACACACTCACACTGCCGCGCGCTGAGCACGCCTGCCCTGCCCTCAGAAACAGCCCTCCCATTGGCTAAGAGGCCGGCCAATCACAGCGCAGGAGGGCTTTTCGAAAACTTTGGTTCCAAACGAGAACGGCTCCTCAGAGGGAGGCCTCCAAAGCCAGGCTGCCTCCAGATCTCGAGTGGTGGACGTCATTTCCCGGAATCCCTGACCGTTGAGCCAAGCAGCAGAGGCTTCTGGGAGTGGAAGTCCACAACACCCTTGGTCTGTCTCCTTGAGCGACAGCTGCAAGCGCCTCCCGGCATCCCTCCCTCGTGGCCTCGCTGTCCCCGCCCCTTCCGGCCAGAGGAGAATCTTCCCAGAGAGGCGCCCAGAAGAGGTGGAGAGGGACCCGGAAGGGCTTGGGGACTCCAAAGAGGGAAGGAGCATGGAGGGGGGATCTTTCTCTCCCTGGAACATCTGGTCAGTGACCATTAGGCACTCTCGAAGGCTTTCATGGCCGGAACCACTGGGTTGTTGTAGGTGTTTTGAGCTGCATGGCCATGCTCCAGAAGCATTCTCTCCTGACGTTTCGCCTGCATCTGTGCCAAGCATCCTCAGAGGTTGTGGGACCTCACAACGTCCGAGAATGGCTGCCATTGATGCAGGCGAAACGCCAGGAGAGAGTGCTTCTGGAACGTGGCGATACAGACCGAAAAACTTACAAAAACCCTATTATTATTGTTGTTGTTTTTGTTGTTGTTATTATTATTATTATTGTTATTTGATACACAACAAGATGAGTCCACAGCAAACAAGATCACTCTGCTGGCTGTTGTATTGGATCACACCTTGGACACTTCCCAAGGGTTAAGGACTGTGTGATGCATCGACAAATAATGTGTGCAAGATCCCCGTAAGGCGTCCTTCTGCAGCTGGCAAGTGGGAATTTTGTCAGCGCCGATTGTGTTTAAGTGCAGGCCAAGGTCTTTAGGCACTGCACCCAGTGTGCCGATCACCACTGGGACCGCCTTGACTGGCTTGTGCCAGAGTCTTTGCAGTTCAATATTTAAATTCTCACATCGTGACAGCTTTTCTCTTCAATCCTGTGGAATTCACTCCACGGGGAAATTAGATCTGCAACATCGCTCCTTTCCTTCAGGAAAAAACTAAAAACATGGATCTGGGACCAGGCATTTGGACAATCGGGCAGATAAAGGAAGAACTTTGATGATGACTAGGAAACGATTAATGGATTAGATCTATGGAACTCTGAAAGATGAAACGCTGAGCACGAGAATAGTTTTTATATGATGTTTTTATATGATTAGGTTCTTGTGGGTTTTTTTGGGCTATATGGCCATGTTCTAGAGGCATTTCTCCTGACGTTTCGCCTGCATCTATGGCAAGCATCCTCAGAGGTAGTGAGGTCAGCTGGAACTGGGAAAAAAGGGGTTTATATATCTGTGGAATGACAGGAGAGGAGATTCCACCTGAACATTAGGAAGAACTTCCTGAATGTAGGATCATGAGAATAGCTTTATATGATGTGTTATGTACTGGTTGTTTGATTGTTTAACTGTGATAACTGCTTTTAATTATGGTTTTGTATATTATGTGTTATTTTGTACAGGCATCGAATTGTGCCTTTTTTGTAAGCCGGCCTGAGTCCTCCTCCGGGAGTTGAGAAGGGAGGAGTAAAAGTACCCGAAATAAATAATAAATAAATAAAATCCTGCTGTCACCTGGGATTGCAACATCAACGATCCATACTTAGTTTTTTAACACAATCATGAGGTCAAGAGTATTGTGCTCCAATACTCACTCTGTCTGTCTGAATTCAGAAGTCTCAGAGTAGTTTGACATATTATTATTATTATTATTATTATTATTTTACTGACACAAAACACAGTATTTCACAGCAAACGAGATAGATATGCTGGATTTTGTATCACAAAATAACAAGTCCCAAACGTCTAGGCCTGTGTGATGTATTATTATTATTATTATCATCCTCATTGTTATTATTATTATTGAGTTGCTGTGAGTTTTCTGGGCAAGTGTGCAATGAATGTGTCGACTACGGATTGGTAATATGGATGATGCAATTGGACCACGATTTTAGTTAGGAGATGTATTGGATTGTGATTTATGTGAAATATTGTGTATTATGTTTTTTACGGTTTTAATTGTATACTGTGTACTGTATATTCTGTTGTAAACCGCGTTGAGTCGCCAGTTAGGCTGAGAAACGGCGGTATACAAGGACAGTAAATAAATAAATAAATAAATAAATAAGTGTGGCCATGTTCCAGAAGCATTCTCTCCTAACGTTTCGCTCACTTCTATGTCAGGCATCCTCATAGCTTGTGAGGTCTGTTGGAAACTAGGCAGGTGAAGTTTATATATCTGTAGAGTGTCCAGGGTGGGAGAAAGAACTCTTGTCTGCTTGAGACAAGTGTGAATGTTGCAATTGGCCACCTTGATAAGAATTAAATGGCCTTGCAGCTTCAAAGACTAGCTGATTTCTGTCGGGGGGGGTCCTTTGTTTGGAGGTGTTAGCTGGCCCTGATTGTTTCATGTCAGGAATGCCCCTATTTTGTGGGTGTTGCTCCTGATGTTAGAGCTTTTTTAAATGCTGCTAGCCAGGTTTTGTTCATTTTCATGGTTTCCTCCTTTCTGTTGAAATTGCCCACATGCTTCTTGTGGATTTCAATGGCTTGTCTGTGTAGCCTGACATGGTGGTTGTTGGAGTGGTCCAGCATTTCTGTGTTCTCAAATAACATGCTGTGTCCAGGTTGGTTCATCAGGTGCTCTCCTATGGATGACTTCTCTGGTTGCATTTCTTGTAGACAGATTTTGTTTGTTTTCATATGATAGTACCCCTACCATAGAAGAATTGTTTCTTCCTTCCTGTTCAAATTGTTCACATGCTTGTGGATTTCAACTCCAGACTCCTGGGCAGAGACCACGATAGTCCTCATACTTCAACAAGTTAGGTTAAAGGTAAAGGTTTTCCCCTGAAATTAAGTCCAGTTGTGTCCGACTCTGGGCATTGGTGCCCATCTCCATTTCTAAGCCGAAGAGCCGGCGTTGTCCAGAGACACCTCCAAGGTCATGTAGCCAGCATGACTGCATGGAGCACCGTTACCCTCCCGCTGGAGTGGTACCGATTGACCTACTCACATTTGCATGTTTTCGAACTGCTAGGTTGGCAGAAGCTGGGGCTAATAATGGGAGCTCACCCTGCTCCCTGGATTCGAACCTGTGACCTTTCGGCCAGCAAGTTCAACAAGTTAGAGATATAGAACAAGTGAAGAATTTCAGACCAATTTCATTAGAGAATTGCTATTACTAGTTATTGGCAGAAATATTATCAAATAGACTGAAACAAATCTTAGGGAAAACAATTCATGGAGGCCAAGGCCCCTTACGCACTGCTGGATAAAAACCCACATTTTCTGCTTTGAACTGGAATATGTAACAGTGTGGACTCAGATAACCCATGTCAAAGCAGATATTATGGGATTTTCTGCCTTGATATTCTAGGTTATATGACTGTGTGGAAGGGCCATATATAACCCAGGGAGATTGCAATGAAAGTTAGGGATTTATAGGAGGATGTCTCCAGTCCAAAACTCTTAACTGACTCTCAGCATGGATTATTTCAGACTGAGGGACGGGGCAAAGCGCATTGAGCTTTTCACCCTGTGGAAAAGGCCCCACCTTTAGGCCAAGGAAGCAGTTGCCTCACATGGCAGATGCTGGCAGGAAACTTCTTCTCTGCAGTTCTTTCCCTTTGATCGTGGTCACAGGGATATATGCCAGTGCTTCCCAAACTGTGATCTTTGGAATGCCAGGGTTCTGCAACAACCTTGAAGGGTTTTTTTTTAAATTGAAGTCTGTGCCAGTGTATGCCTCTACTTTTTAAAAACATAATTTGACTCTGTGCTGTGAATGACTTTTGGGTAGAGTTTTGGTAGGCATGTAGCTATCAAGCTGGAAAGGCTATCTGAGCTTTTTTCCCCTTTGTGTCCATCGATTGAAGTGAATAAGGCTTTCAAGGTAATGCTTCCACCAACAGCAAATTTAGTAGTAAGTTGGATGCTATCTTGGGTTTACTTATTCATCTGCTAGACATAAAGCCCAATCTCGAAACAAAATGAAACAGGTTCTTTTATCACTTTAGCTGTGAATTCAGAAACTTCCTGTACCAAACTAATGATTTGATGCTATATTTAAAATACTTTTTCTTTATTTCTAAAACTACTACATTATACTTTGGCTACAGGGAGACATCAGGACCTCGGGAGGTTTGCAGCCAGCTGCACCTTCTCTGCCGCCAGTGGCTCCGGCCAGAAAGACATACCAAGGGGGAGATGTTGGACTTGGTGGTCTTTGAGCAGTTCCTGGCACTCCTTCCCTCGGAGATGTCGTCCTGGGTGAGAGAATGTGGGGCAGAGACCAGTTCCCAGGCGGTGGCCCTGGCAGAAGGCTTCCTCCTGAGTCAGGCAGAGAAGAAGCAGGAAGAGGAGACGGTGAGCTCAGTTCCTTCTGGTCATTTTGAGGGCCATCGATATTGGATTGGCTGATGTCTACTGAAAGAGCACTTTGGTTTTCTGAAAATTCTGGAACAAGCCGAGGCCAGAGATAATTGCATCTCATCAGTCAAAAGGCAGGTCAAGTATAGCCTGGACCAGTATAATGGGATTCTTCTTCCCAGAAGATAGAATTTGCAGCTAGGTTACTAATGGGGGTTCTGTTGGGTATATATGGATACCATTTTTAAGAGATTGGGCAATTATTGATACAGTCCTAGGCACAATTAATAGCACTGGTCATTTCCTGTACAGCTTCATACGGCTTTTCCAAAAAGTGTTTTCTCTGCCCCGGTTGTCCTCTGCTGGGTGTTCTCTCATGGTCTTCCCTCCTGGGAGAGAGCCTTCTTCTCAGTGGCTTCCTCGGGTTCTGCAACTCTTTGGTAGGGAGATTAGATTGGTTCCCTCTTTCCTGTCCTTTTGTTCTCACAGGGAAACATGATTCTCAAAACAGCTTCTATTTAAACATAGGTAGTAGTGATGTGCTTATCTGTCATCTTATTCTGTACTATTATCTCTGTAGAAAGGTTATATTTTAGCTATTAGAAACATGACATTATTATTATTATTATTATTATTATTATTATTCTTACAAGCAAATTAACACAATCCTCTTCATTCAGAAGATGTAAGTGTTCAACATATCTCACCTCCCACTCCCCACCACTACTGAAGCCTTCTTGTATTCCCCCCCCCCCCCAATTCTCCCTTTTATTTTATTTTATTTTATTTTTTCTGCTTGTGTTGTAGGATTTGTTTCCGGAAAGGATCCCCGAGGCAGATCGGTGTTTTTCTGAATCCAGTCAAAGGCAGCAGCCAAGGTGGATGATGGAGGACAGCGAAGGAAAATCTCCCTCAATGAGTAAGTGCCGTCCGAAGTTTTCTCCTTGGCCTTCTCCATTCAAGTCTGCCTGAATATATCTGGGTTGTATGAATCATGGCATGTTAACAATATCATGCTACCTAAACAGTACTAGGATGCTGTAGGCATACTTCAGCTAAGAAAGTCTCCTAACAGAAAATCTGCTTTTTCTTCTTAGCTTCTGTGTAGCTGGATTTTTCCCTTGTAGCATTTTCACTAGTAAAGAAGGACGGGAGGAATACAACTCTTAGTATCAGGGTATAATAGTATTTTGGCAGAAAGCAATGCAACAAAGGTTCAGGTGGGAATGAAGAAGGCTCTAGTCCACCCTATTGCTGTGGGGTGTTCCTGCCTACAACACGGCAATGTAAATTCAGCTGCCATTAGCGCCCACTTCTGAGCATGTATGACCAGCAAAACTACAAAAAAAGTGGGAAAACAGAAAGGCTAATCTCATCAGCTCCCACTGCAGATGTGAAAAATGCAGAGATTTAAAATTTTGACCACCAAAAATGGAAATAATAAGAAAATTGAGCGTAGTTTATTCTTTTATGCAATTAAGTCACTGTTACTATTAGTTGTACTATGTTGTGTTGCTTTAATGTATTTGCGCCTGTTTGGGCATTTAATGTTTGCCTTTTTGTGTGTAAACAGCCCTGAGTCCCCTCGGGGGGATAGGGTGATCTATAAATAAAGTTTTTAATTAATGTAAATAGTGAAAGGATAGGTTGCCACCGGCTTATTTTCACATTGTCTGTAGGTTTTAAATGTTGTTGTTTTTGGCTAACCCAAGGTGACTTTGACATTCTTTCATTTAAGAGCCTATCCTCCTTTCTTCCATGTCATTCCTGCCTCAGATACCATTTTCTCCCAGTTATTTGTGATGTTTGTTACATTTGAATGTGTAGAAGGAATTTGACGGAGAAAAGAAAGAATGGGTAATAATATTTTCTTTCCCTTCTCCTTTCTGTTCCTTCCAGGAGATGGAACAAGGACTTGGTCTACAAGTATAAGTGCATCTCTTCCTCATGATTATCTCAGAACAGCATCTGCAGGAGTACATCAGGTAGGGGCCAGACCCTTAAACAAGCCAAAAAAGGAGCAGGCTATGTACTGCTGTCCATTTGACCACTCTCTGGTCCTCACAGAATCTTGTTCTTTCCCTTTGCTTGCATGAAATGTGTTAATTCAAAGAGCCTGTAGATGTCTTCCAATAAGAATTTCAGTTTTTACAGCAGTCTGAAACAATATTTTTGTTGTTTTCCAGGTGACTTTTGAGGAGGTGGCTGTGGATTTCACAGAAGAAGAGTGGGCTCTGTTGGACACAGGCCAAAGGGCCCTTCATCAGAAGGTGATGGAGGAGAATTTGGAAATCCTGTCCTCTCTTGGTAAGGCTCCTCCCGTCTTGTGCTTAGTCAGCTCACATAAAACCAGCAATTTTTTTCTCACTCTTGATATATTAAAGCAGGCCTCATTCTTCTCTTCTAATCTTGTTGACTTCTGGTGTCTTTTTCCAGGAAGCACTTATGGAAACAGTTCCTCGTTAAAGTCACAACTTCTGACAGATCAAAGAACCAAAAAGGCAGAAAAAACACTGAAGGGTTTGAAGGGGAAAAAGAGATTCAGTCAAAAGGCCTTCCTCTCACGTTACCAATCAGATCACAAAGGGAAGAAACTATTTCATTGTTGGATATGCCGAAAGGGTTTCATTTTGAAGAGTCACCTCCTTTGTCATCAAGCAACTCATGTTGGAGAGAAACAGTTTAAATGTGCAGAGTGCGGGAAAAGTTTCAGCCAAAAGTTATATTTCACTCGTCATCAAGTAACTCACACAAGAGAGATGCAGTTTAAATGCCAGGAGTGTGGAAAAGGCTTTATTTGGAAGGCACACCTCACTTGGCATCAAGCAACGCACACTGGGGAGAAACCATTCAAATGCCTAGTGTGTGGAAAGGGCTTTATTCGGAAGGCAAACCTCAGTTGGCATCAAGTAGCCCACACAAGGGAGATGCAGTTCAAATGCCTGGAGTGTGGAAAAGGCTTTATTCAGAAGGCACACCTCACCTATCATCAAGCATTTCACACTGGGGAGAAACCTTTTAAATGCCCAGAGTGTGGAAAAGGCTTTATTTGGAAGGCACACCTCACTTGGCATCAAGCAACTCACACTGGGGAGAAACCGTTCCAATGCCAGGAGTGTGGAAAAGGTTTTATTCAGAAAACACACCTCGCTTGGCATCAAGCAACTCACACTGGGGAGAAACCATTCCAATGCCCGGAGTGTGGAAAAGGCTTTGTTCGGAAGGCAAACCTCATTCAGCATCAAGCAACTCACACTGGGAAGAAACCATTCCAATGCCTCGAGTGTGGAAAAGACTTTATTCGGAAGGCAAACCTCATTCAGCATCAAGCAACTCACACTGGGGAGAAACCATTCAAATGCCTAGAGTGTGGGAAAAGTTTCACCCAGAAGACCTCCCTCACTTGGCATCAAGCAACTCACACTGGTGAGAAACCGTTCCAGTGCCTGGAGTGTGGAAAAGGCTTTGTTCAGAAGACATCCCTCACTCGTCATCAAGCCATTCACACTGGGGAGAAACCATTCCAATGCCCAGAGTGTGGAAAAGGCTTTATTCGGAAGTCACACCTCACTCGGCATCAAGCAACTCACACTGAGGAGAAACCTTTCAAATGCCCAGAGTGTGGAAAAGGCTTTATTGGGAAGGCAAACCTCACTCGGCATCAAGCCATTCACACTGGGGAGAAACCATTCAAATGCCCAGAGTGTGGAAAAGGCTTTATTCAGAAGTCACACCTCACTCTGCATCAAGCAATTCATACTGGGGAGAAACCATTCAAATGCCCGGAGTGTGGAAAAGGCTTTATTCAGAAGGCAGACCTCACTCTGCATCAAGCAACTCACACTGGGGAGAAACCATTCAAATGCCTGGAGTGTGGAAATAGTTTCACTTGGAAGAAATCCCTCGCCCATCATCAAGCCATTCACACTGGGGAGAAACCATTCAAATGCCTGGAGTGTGGGAAAAGTTTTTTTCGGAAGATAGATCTGACTTACCATGAAACAATTCACAGTGGGGAGAAACCGTTTCCGTGTCTGGAGTGTGGTAAAGGTTTCAGTCGGAAGGCAGACCTCACTCGGCATCAAGCAACTCACAGAGGCGAGAAGCCATATGAATGCCTGGAGTGCGGAAAAAGTTTCACTCAGAAGACATACCTCACTCAGCATCAAGCAATTCATACTGGGGAGAGACCATTCAAATGCCTGGAGTGTGGACAAAGTTTCCCTCGAAAGGCATCCCTCATCTATCATCAAGCCACTCATATTGTGGAGAAGCCATTTAAATGCCTGGAGTGTGGGAAAGGTTTCAGTGGGAAGGCATGTCTTGGTCGTCATCAAGCAACTCACTCAAAGCAGAAGGATTTGAAGGTCTTATATGACATTCAAAATCCATAGCGATGAGAAACCATTGATATGTTTAGAGTCTGAAAAGTGTTTCACTAATGACTCTCTCAGAACACCTCCTATGCAAGAACACATGGAGAATACATTGTTCAGAGTCTTGATGTGTGGGGATGCATATAACAGAGGATTCGTTTTTGAAAAATTAATCATGAACTTTAATATCAAAGGGGTGCTGTGGTTTCCGGGCTGTATGGCTGTGTTCTAGCAGCATTTTCCCCTGACGATTCTCCTGCATCTGTGGCTGGCAAATTCAGGGGATCATAAATGCAGGTGAAACATCAGGAGAAAATGCTGCTAGAACATGACCATACAGCCCGGAAATCACACAGCATCCCAGTGATTCCGGCCATGAAAGCCTTTGACAATACTATAATATCATACTTTATACTTAAATTACAGGAAACAATGCACATACAACAAATAGATATAAAAACAAGCAAAGCAAAAGAGAATCAAGCAGTACAGCACGTCACTCCTATGCTCCTCACCCATTAGAATTGACTTGGGAGGATTGTGAAGAAAATAGGAAAACCATTATTTATTCTGTATGGATGAAGAAAAAGATAAAACTACGCAAAGAATAAATAGAAGACTAACAGATCTAAGTAAAGTTATGCATAAATGGCAATTAAAGGATGTATGGAGGGTAATAAAGGCAGATGAAAAGAAATATACATTTTATTCTACTGTACATAGAGTGTACACAAGAATTGATTATTTTTTGGTTTCAGTAAATATGCTGAGTAAATTGTTAAATGCGAATATTAGTAATATAAGGGTCTCTGATCATGCCTTGGTGTCAATGGAAATTGTGTTAAAATGTGATTATGAAAAAATGAAAAGGTGGCGGTTAAATACTAAGATATTGAATTATAAAGAGACTGTGGAAAAAATAAGAGTTGAATGGCAAGAAACATGGGAAATAAATGAAGGGAAGATTTTATACTAATTGCTTTAATTGCTTTTTCAGAAAGCAGGTTGAAACCAAATCTGAAAATGTATGTTGTTTAAATGTATGTGTCAAAAGGAATACTGTGGGATACAATGAAGGTGGTGATAAGAGGCTTATGTATAAAAGAAACAAGCAAGTTAAAGAGGAAACAAGATGAAAGGAAAAGGAGTTTGAATAAAGATATAGAAATGCTGGAGAAGGAGTATATTAGAAAAGTAGATACACGAACTAAGGGCCAAAAAAGAAGAATTGGATAAAATTGAGATTGATGGAGTTCAAGAAAATTTAATATACTTAAAAAGATATTTTTTTGAACACCTTAACAAAAAGAAACACCAGGGTCACATTGCAGAACATGCTTACCATACACCTCCTCCAATCTCTTAAAGTATATATGTATGAGATATATACTGTATGATGCCAGGCTTTAGCACAGCTGATAAATCACCAGCAATGATAAGATCTACCAAATGAAAGGTGCCTGGGTTAGCATGGTCACCCAACTATCAGCCCAGCTTGCTGTTTACCTAAGCAGTTCGAAAATAGCTTGAGCTGTAAGTAGAGAAATTAGGTACCGTCGCTAAAATAAGGGGGCGGGGTGGTATTTTACAACACCATGAAGAAAAATATCTGAAAATGCCCTGTGATCAAAAGGAAGGAGAAAGTCCTGATGGCTCTTCATCATAGAGAATGGAGCAACAGCATCTCCCGTGGCTGGATTCGAGCACAACCTCCAAGGTGCCAAAAAAGCTGGATGTTGACCCAACATACCTCCTTTCTGTTCTGTCTGTCTCTGTCCTGTCTATCCAAAATGACACTGAATGTTTGCCATCTATGTGTACTGTGATCTGCCCTGAGTCCCCTTGGGGAGTTGGGCAGAATATAAATAAAGTGGTATTATTATTACCATTATTATTATTATTATTATTATTATTATTATATAGAGGTACAGTTTTTTCAACGCTCGGCAGCCATGATTTTAACAGGAGCGGAGCGCAGGGAGCATACAACCCCCGTTGCGCCAACTCCACTGGCTACCGATCTGCTACCGGGCTGAATTCAAAGTGCTGGCGTTGGCCTTTAAAGCCCTAAACCAGTGTTTCTCAACCTGGGGGTCGGGACCCCTGAGGGGGTCGCGAGGGGGTGTCAAAGGGGTCACCAAAGACTATAAGAAAACAGAGTATTTTCTGTTTGTCATGGGGATTCTGTGTGGGAAGTTTGAGCCAATTATATCCTTGGTGAGGTTCAGAAAGCTCTTTGATTTTAGGTTAACTATAAATCCCAGTAACTACAAGTCCCGAATGTTAAGGTCTATTTTCCCCAAACTCGACCAGTGTTCACATTTCGGCATATTGAGTACTCGTGCCAAATTTGGTCCAGATCTGTCATTGTTTGAGTCCACACTGCTTTCTGGATGTAGGTGAACTACAACTCCAAAACTCAAGGTCAATGGTCACCAATCAATGGTCACCAATCAATGTGGGCATTGTGCGTGCCAGGTTTGGTTCAATTTCATCATTGGTAGAGTTCAGAATGCTCTTTGTAGGTGAACTATAAATCCCAGCAACTACAACTCCCAAATGACAAAAATCAATCCCTTCCCCAACTCCACCAGTATTCAAATTTGGGCATATTGAGTATTTGTGCCAAACTTGGTCCTGTGAATGAAAATACAACCTGCATATCAGATATTTACATTACGATTCATGACAGTAGCAAAATCAGAGTTGTGAAATGACAACAAAAATAATGTTATGTTTGGGAGTCACCACAACTTGAATCTGCTACCGGGCTGAATTCAAAGTGCTGGCATTGGCCTTTAAAACCCTAAACGGTTCCGGCCCAAGCTACCTATCTGACCGCATCTCTGCCTATGAACCCACCAGGACTTTGAGATCTTCCGGGGAGACCCTGCTCTCGATCCCGCCTGCTTCTCAAGCTCGGCTGGCGGGGACGAGAGATAGGGCCTTCTCGGTGGTGGCTCCTCGGCTGTGGAACGCCCTTCCTACGGACATTAGACTAGCACCATCTCTAATGGTATTCCGCAAAAAGGTGAAGACCTGGATGTTTGTGCAGGCGTTTGAGTAATTTAGTGCAATCTGGTAATGGAACATAGGAATGGAACAATGGCCGACGAACCTGGACTACGCTTGGATGATGAGAAGATTGGGTACGGTTGTTTTTTGTAATAATTGTGCATTGTAATTGCTTATTGGTAATTTATGGATAATGTGTTAAGTCAATTGTTATATGTTGTATGGAACCACTGCTGTTTCTACTGTTTTTACTGTTTGTGAACTGCTGTGAGTCGCCTTCGGGCTTGAGATACAGTGGTATAGAAGCAAAGTAAATAAATAATAAATAAATAAGCGATAATCCAGATAATTTCTGTACAGTTTCAAGCATACATGGTACAGGTGTAGACATCATAAGCTCACCCTTCTCCCACTATAACAGGGCAAACTTCGGCCCTATCGGCTGTTAGGAATTGTGCAAGTTGGGAGTCCAAAACACCTGGAGGGCTCGAGTTTGCCCTATGTCTGCACTATAGGGTCTCAAAGGCAGCCAACAATAAACATCAATGCTACCTAAAAACATTGTGAATGCATTAATATATAAATGTAACTTTAAAAGCATATAAACAGCATATGCTATTAAAACCATTAGACAATCAAAATATTAAAATGCATGAAATCTACCTCAAAATCTCAGCCACGACGCCTTAAACAGCCAACCCTTTTCATCAGATCATAAACACCGGAGAAATGTTTTGCACCTGCTGAGAGATGTGGGAGGTTAGACAATGCTTCAGGGTGATACGGAATCTCTCAAAGCTTGGATAATATGTCATCAGTTGGGAGCCCCTCCCCACAGCACCAACTGCTACTCTGGACCAAAGGGAGAGGGAGGCATCTTGTCTCCTGTGCTATGCTTATAATATAATATAATATAATATAATATAATATAATATAATATAATATAATATAATATAATATAATATAATATAATATAATATTAACCCTGTACCCCACTCCGGCCGGCTCAGTTTTTAATAATATCCTGTTATATTGCTATTGCTATTGTTTTTCTGCTTTAACTGTTTTATTTGCTATGTATTGTGTTGTTGTATTGTGTTGGGCTCCGGCCTATTGTAAGCCGCATCGAATCCCTTGGGAGATGCTAGCGGGGTACAAATAAAGTTATAATAATTATAATTATAATAATAATATAATATAATATAATATAATATAATATAATATAATACAGACAATGCCATTGCTGTTGCCCGTTTTTGGTCAAAAGATATTTAGCCGTCTGCACACCTATTTTTATCAGTTTTATACTAATTTATGCAATGCTTAATTAAAATTATATATTTTATATTGCATGTAATATTACTAATAATCTATATCTATATCTATATATATAAATTTGTTAGGGGCATCCAACGAGGAAACAAAACTCAAAAACCCCCCAACGAAACTTAACCAAAATTCCCATGCCCATAACACAACCCACAAGGTACAAACATATCTACTCAAAATGAAAAACAACACAACAACACACTCACAAAACGGCAAAACAACAAAACTCAAAAATCCCCCAACGAAACTTAACTAAAATCCCCGTGCCCATAACACAACCCACAAGGTACAAACATATCTACTCAAAATGAAAAACAACACAACAACACACTCACAAAATGGCAAAACAACAAAACTCAAAAATCCCAACGAAACTTAACCAAAATCCCCGTGCCCATAACACAACCCACAAGGTACAAACATACCTACTCAAAATGAAAAACAACACAACAACACACTCACAAAACGGCAAAACAACAAAACTCAAAAATCCCCCAACGAAACTTAACTAAAATCCCCATGCCCATAACATAACCCACAAGGTACAAACATACCTACTCAAAATGAAAAACAACACAGCAACACACTCACAAAACGGCAAAACAACAAAACTCAAAAATACCCCAACGAAACTTAACCAAAATCCCATGCCCATAACACAACCCACAAGGTACAAACATATCTACTCAAAATGAAAAACAACACAACAACACACTCACAAAACGGCAAAACAACAAAACTCAAAAATCCCCCAATGAAACTTAACTAAAATCCCCGTGCCCATAACACAACCCACAAGGTACAAACATATCTACTCAAAATGAAAAACAACACAACAACACACTCACAAAACGGCAAAACAACAAAACTCAAAAATCCCCAACGAAACTTAACCAAAATCCCCGTGCCCATAACACAACCCACAAGGTACAAACATACCTACTCAAAATGAAAAGCAACACAACAACACACTCACAAAACGGCAAAACAACAAAACTCAAAAATCCCCCAACGAAACTTAACTAAAATCCCCGTGCCCATAACATAACCCACAAGGTACAAACATACCTACTCAAAATGAAAAACAACACAGCAACACACTCACAAAACGGCAAAACAACAAAACTCAAAAAATCCCCCAACGAAACTTAACCAAAATCCCCGTACCCATAACACAACCAACAAGGTATAAACATATCTACTCAAAATGAAAAACAACACAACACACTCACAAAACGGCAAAACAACAAAACTCAAAAATCCCCCAATGAAACTTAACTAAAATCCCCGTGCCCATAACACAACCCACAAGGTACAAACATATCTACTCAAAATGAAAAACAACACAACAACACACTCACAAAACGGCAAAACAACAAAACTCAAAAATCCCCCAACGAAACTTAACCAAAATCCCCGTGCCCATAACACAACCCACAAGGTAC